ATAGTCTATAATTGGAACCATAACTCTTATTTATTCAAATTGTATTAATATGTAAAGACCAAGTGTAACATATATCATCGTTAAATCTTATCTTATAAAAACCAGTGAAATTTCAAAATCGTTAAAATTCATGAATCCCGCCGTATTACACGGATACACAACTAGTATATTATTAAACACAAGTAATTGTGAAGGGTGGGTGTGAAGACCGGGAGAGTGTTGAGTGTTGACGAGGTTTCGTCACACTTTCAACTAAAATGGTTGGACTATGACCATTTGTACTCATTTGTCGTGCATGAAGGTTTATGTATTATTTTATCATATTTTTTTTAATTTTATCATTTTTTTTAATTATTATCATACCACCTTTGGTCAAATTAAATTTATATGACTTTTAAAATATTTAATAAGAACCAAAATACAAAGCGTTTATTTAATTATGTTGTAATAGATTTATAGAACTTTTACGTCTTTTAATATATTTGTATGACATCTTAAATTAAAGTATTGTATTAACTATTTTATAGGATAATTTTGATAAATATCATATATATTCATCTTTTTATATGACACTTGTGTTTATAGAACTTCTTTTTTCAAATAGTGTCGTATAAAATAACTATTATGACATTTTATTTTTAAAGTGACTTAAAAAACTTGTTAAAACGTCTAAAAACTATCTTAAAAACTTGTTAAAACGTTCAAAAGCATTCTATAAACCTATTATAGTAGTGTTAGATAGGATGTTTTATAAATGTATCATTAAGACGCTTAAATATTTTTGGCGTAATATAATATGATATTATTGTGATAAAAAAGATATTTTGATAATAATAATAATAATATCATAAAGTTACTAATATATAATTTTAATTAAATATTATTTATCAATGATAGTTTTAATGTTAACAATTTCGTGCCTATTTATCCCGACAATCGTCGGTCATAAACTTACTAATATATAATTTTAATTAAATATTATTTATCAATGATAGTTTTAATGTTAACAATTTCGTGCCTATTTATCCCGACAATCGTCGGTCATAAACTTACTAATATATAATTTTAATTAATATTAAATACGTCACTATTTATATGGACAAAGTAGCAAATTAATTAAGGTCGTGTCAGGACCAACCACACCTTATCACATGTCGACAGTTTAGATGAGGACACTCTACGACTGCTTGAATCAAAAGATCGTTAAAATGAATTACCACTTTCTAAAAGATTAGTTATGGCGTAAATTACAAGGATGGTGCCTGATTTGTTTGAGTTTGGCTCAAAAGATCAAAAGTACCAGGAGGTCCCAAGTTCAAATCCAAGCAGGAATAAAAATCCCCTTGTGGTCACGGAGGTTCAAATGCGGTGACTCCGAACTATCTGCAAAGCAAGTAGTCGTCCTGGGATTAGTCGGCTCGCATAACCAGTTGGATATCCAGTTTAATCAATTAAAAAATTACATATATTTATTCTAAATGGGTGAAACTAAAAATGACATGGTAATTTAATTCTTCTTTATTCCGTTTCTCTTCCTTCCCCTTCCTTTGGTTCTTCATTTTTCTCTTGATCGTTTTTCTGTTAATATTAAAACCCGTCAACAGTATCCCTATTGAAATTTGTTTGATCACTCCCTCTACTGTACTAAAACGTTTAACTTGTTAACCAGTTACCGATCAAAATTAGTATCAAATCAAATGATTTGTATACTTGTTATACTAATTTCAAAAAGAAAAAGAAGTATCATTACATTAAATTAGAAGTACACAAAATTCGTTACATTTTGACCCGTCATATTTTCTGTGTCATTATCTCGTCACCTAATGAATTCCGAGATCAACAACATTTAACGACTGTTAACTGTTACCAATCAAAACAGTTATAAGATTAAATAAACTTTGTTATTACATTAAATAAAAATTAAATCAAATTTAATTAGATTTTTAAATAATATTATCTTTATTATAATTAAAAAAAATAGATCACTAATTCGTTATTACATTAAATAAAAATTAAATCAAATTTAATTAGATTTTTAAATAATATTATCTTTATTATAATTAAAAAAAATAGATCACTAATTCGTTATTACATTAAATAAAAACTAAATCAAACTTTTAGAATAATATTATTTTTATTATTAAAAAAAATAAGTTTGAAAAAAGGGGTTATGTAAAAATGTGGACACCATTTTTTCCCACTTTCTTGGAAGAACGTTTCAAGGACGGTGCTTTTGTTGAATTCCAAATAAATTAATTAATTAATTTATGTTTGAAATTACATTTTTTATTATTATTAAATTTACCTTTCATTTATCTTTTTTTCTCTCCAATCAATTTCAATCACTATATGTTTTATTATCGATCTATAACTTTTTCGTATACTTGTAAAATTTTATCAGAACTAAGCAACTTAAAATAATAATAAAAACAAATTAAAATTTACATCTCCGTCGATGTCGTCCATCACAATCAGTGGCGGATTCAGGATTTTTGTTCAGTGGGGTCACCTTTAAGGTAGACTAAAAACCCGCAAAATTGTCTGATGTGTTTTTAACCTAATTACAACGTTTTCGAGGGAATTTTAAAGTTTTTTGGTTGATTTCGAAGGATTTTTTAGTGTTTTGTCGATTTCGAATAATTTTTTTGGTTTTTTTGATTGATTTCAACAGATTTTTTTTGTTAGAGTAACAGTTTTGATTGGGGTTGGGGGACCACGGAAAAATGTAATGGGGAAAAGTGAAAGGTAAATCATGTAAAACCTAAATTTTAACCTATGAATTTTTGTTTTTGAGTTTTTTATTGGGGTCCCTTCCCCCCTCCTTTAAACCACTACATCCGCCCTGATCACAACCATGGTCTGTTACCACTATCTTCGTCATTTCATAAGGATCTTACTAACCGAATAAGCATAGTTTTTTTGAATTATCGTCAATTATATCAAATTCTTGATTTAAATTTAACCACAAGCATGGTGACTGATTGGTTTGGGCTTGGCTCCACAGGTCAAAAGTACATGGAGGTCTCAGGTTCAAATCCAAGGAGGAATAAAAATCCCCTTGTGGCCACGGAGATTCAAATGTGGTGACTCCGGGCTATCTGCAAATCAGGTGGTCGTCCTGGGATTAGTCGACTCGCATAGCAGGTTGGATATCCAGGTTAATCAAATTTAGTATTATCATATATTTATGTATATGAAAATGTTTACAACTTAAATTATTTAACATTACTTGATTTATGTCATTTATAACTATTATATGATGGATAAGATTATAAAAAAAAAATCAAAACAATTTGTTTAGTTATGTCATATCCAGCCTTAGTCGTACCAAACACCAGACATACAACTTGGCATGTCTAGTCATGCCCTGTCCAATTTTATCTGGTCTAATCATGTATGCATACCAAATGCTACCTAATAGTCGGGAATTTCTTAAGTCGCGATCATTTCTTAGTAATTGTATCGATTATGGTGTGAAATGTCATTTTATTAGTTTTTTTTAATTCAAAAATTGTGTTCTTGTAAGTCACTACCATGATGGAGTTTTATGCATGTTCTTAATTTGTTAAATTGGTAACGACGTGGCAAGAAAAAAATGCAGAATTAAGGGCACATCTTCAATGGAATGACTATAAAAACCTTTTTTTTGCATGTTTTCATTCAACATCAGTATTAACTCAATAACATAAGAACCTCGTAAAACTTCACTATGTTAATCGCTTCTTACCAGTCATTACATTATAGACCTGATTTAAAAAGCCGAGTTATAAAGTAGGAACCAAGTATAAAAAATTTTGTGAAATTATTATATTTTAGATTTACTAGAAGGATACTCGCACAATTCAGTGAGATACATCTTAATTTTAATGTTTCGTTTTATAATTTGGGTCTATCAATGTTATAATGCGATTTTATGTGGTTTCGAGAGAAAGAAAATGTTTTTATTTTTGAATGAAATATAAATTTGAAGATATTATATTATTTTGATAAAAATAAGCGATATTAATATCAAATTAACTATTTAAAAGTTCTTTTCTTGTGTAATTTCTTTAATTTTTTTTATGATTTAATTGAATTTTAAAAACGAAATAATTTATTTTTGGTTTAATGAAATAAAATAATTAAGTATTCTGTTAGAATTCAATGATTATCCTAAGTATATTTTAGATATTTTATAATTAAAATGAGATGTTTATTCTTATGTTTATCTGCAGTTAGTTACAAAAATTCAAACATGAAGCTTTAATAAGTTGTACTAACGCATGATTTACTTGTAATCTTGAATTTTAAGTAATATGCATCAATAAATAATACTTCATGCTTAAAAATAATTTTTAAGAGTTTTTGTCAAATGATTTATAATATAGTATAGATATATTATTTTGCTTTTATTTTTAAAGTGAAAAATCCTAATATTCAATATCAGTAATATCTTATTTTAACCGAGATCATAATATTTTTAATATAATAACAGTATCAACAATATTAATAGCAACAAAGACCATACAGTTATTAACTTGATTATTATTTATATAAAATAAAATGACATTTTTATCCTTAATAGTAAATTCCTTTAATAACAACCTTACTTCGTAGACATTGCATGAAATAGGCAAATGGTGGAAATGGACAAATATATCAATTTCTAAGCAAATATATTATGGATCGGCTTCTCTTTCTCCAAATCGTGTTGCTTGTTCTTGGCTAGCTTCTTTAGCCGAGCCAACTCGAGGTCTCTACACATCTTCTTTTTGTACATCTCCATGAAAGTTATAGCTTCTTCCATTATCGATTTATCTCCTTCATTCACCTTCAGTGGATACACAATCGCATCGGGTGCAGGGTTTTGAAACGTGGCTATGGATAACCGACTAGTGTTTGAGTTCACCACGGCTTGATGGTCTGCGTTCTTGAACCTCCCGTTGCTCAAATACTGTTCCAAACCATTTTCGTGTCATGGAACAATTAAGTAAAGTTGATTTAGACCATGTTTGTCAACCATAAGCTAATTTATTTTTTAAATTTATTGAAAAACCCTTGATTGTTGTTCTCCACGACCCCTAGAATTAAATCGAGGGACGCAAACAAACTCAAACGCCCATGGTTAACAAAACACAATTATTTTGAGTTAACAACTAGTTAGTTAGCCAACAAATAGTTTATCAATTTGTCTGTCAAAAATAACCTTACTGAACCCCAGGCCCTGCGCCCGAATAATACTCCATTAAAAGATCTCAAGATGCATTCAGGACGCGTTTTGAGGCCTTTTTACACGAATAGCCTCTTTGGCACGACTATAAAACATCAAATCAACGATATGACCAAAGCACATAACACTTACATGTCCATGATCACCGAGATTAACCACGAAAGCACCTTCAATCGGCTGAACCGTGATCCAACTCTGACCCCCATCACGAGTCGCTTGAAGCCCACCAACTTGGTCCTGAAGCAACAACGTGATCGTTCCCGGATCCGTATGTCGTTTCAGGCCCAACGTGAGGTCGGGCTGAGGGCATTTCGGGTAATAATTGACCACCACTTTTTGGTCCATATCCACACATGCTTTAGTCAAGGCCTCTTTCTCAAGGCCCATTGCCTCAGACAATACCTCTAGAAGCTTGCAGCTCAGGCCCATTAACATCTTGCTATATTCCTCAGTAACTGCCCTCCACTCTTTGGGCTTTTCGGGCCACCTTGAGTAGTCTCTTGCTTTTATTGGGTACGAGAAGAAGGTTACAATCTCCCTCCAATCTTGCACCGTTTCTCCCTGTATTATGCATACACATTATAAAATTTACGAGTAAATTACGTTTTTGGTCCGTATAATTTGTTAAAAATTACAATTTTCACCCCTATAGTTTAAAAATTACGATTTTCATACCTGCAGTTTCTAATTCATTGCTATTTCCAAAAGATTGGATTAACACATATAATTTGATCATTTTCATATTATCTTATTTTGAATTATGTTCTCGTTCGATCGTCTCTCATATTACATATTAATATTTTCACTTCTTCATGCTAATTTTAATTAATTAATTTATATATTTTACTAACGTGTATAAACATCAGTTCAAACGTAAATGTAATTTCATACTAGGGTTGGGTTCCGATGAGAATGAGAGTTAAAGTGAGAAGCATAAGAAAGGATCTCCCATTGGATACACATTAAGATGAGATACACTGGATTAATTCCTGCATTGAGCAGGATTCATGAGTGGATTTGAGATTAAAGATGATCAGGGGTCCAGATTCCTTCTTACGCTTTTCACTTTAACTTTTTGTCTCACACAATCCTTCACCTTTCGTATTGTCTATAATATATTATAAAACATTTGACAAAAAATTCTTAAAAACCACCTTTTATGCATGAAATACTGTTTATTGATGTATATTACTTAAAACTCAAGAGTACAAGTAAATTGTGTGTAAGTACAACACTTATTAAAACTTCATGTTTGAATTCGTAAAACTAATTGCAGATAAACATAATCAAATAGAGGATAAACATCTCATTTTAAATATAAAAATATCTAAAATATAATTAGAATAATTATTGAGTTATACTTATAACATAATACTTAATTATTATCCTTATAAATATAAACCAAAAATAAATTACTTTATTATTAAACCTAAATTAAATTAGGATAAAAAAAATTGAATTAAAGAAATTACATAAAAAACGAGAATTTTTAAAAAATTAATTTAATATTAATATCGATATATTTTTTTTCAGATTTTTACGAATAAAAACATTATCGCTTTCTCAAAATCACATAAAACCGTATTATATCGACAAAATAAAACAAAATATTGTCTCGATGTATCTCGTTGCACTGAACGAGTATCCTTCTAATAGTTTAAAAAAATATAACTCTATAACTACAAGGGTGGTGCCTGATTAGTTTGAGCTTGGCTCCAAAGGTCAAAAGTACCATGAGGTTCCAGGTTCAAAGATAAGGAGAAATAAAAATCCCCTTATGGCTATGGAGGTTCAAATACGGTGACTCCGAGCTATGTGCAAAGCAGTAGTCGGCTCACATGACGGGTTGGATATCCAAGTTAATATATATATATATATATATATATATATATAAGACTATATGAACTTTCATCTTGATAAAAGTAATGATGTGATGCGAGTTCGGAATCCGAAAATCAGAGATATATAACATAAAAATGGAAGGAAGCAGTAATTCTTACTTGAAGATGGCTTGAAACGATGAAACCGCCTTTTTTCCCGCCACTCATATCAAATCGGAGCTTCTCCTCCGCCGGCAACAGGAAGAATTCTCTGGCGAGCCTTGTCATCTCCGACAACAATTTAGTATCAACACCATGATCCACCACCTGAAATATCCCCCAATCTTCACACGCCCTCACGATCTTCTCACAGATCTCCGCCCTACGAGATCCAACACCACCACCGATGCCACCGTCCACGATGTCAATACCTTCAAGTGAGATCACCGGAATCTCGTTGCTAAACTTATTGTACGGCACCTTGGGCCGCTCATCTTCATCACGGACGAAACTGTTTTGAAGCAACGAAGTTTGGTCCCATTTCAAGGATATGGGGGCCATAGTTTTTGGACACTCTTTTTGTGTGCAGATGAATGGAGGGAGAATGGTTTCGAAGGCTTCGCAATGGGCTTCTATTTATACCAGCAAAGCAATTCCAACAAACGGGTCAGGTCGGGTCGGGTTTAGAAATGGTAAAGAGGGCAGGAGCTCTAGCCACCCCACGTGACTAACCATGCACCCTTTGAACGGGGGTTGTATAAAAAAGATGTCATTTAGGTGCATTTGGTATCTATATTCGATATAGGATAAGATATAACTGAATAGAATAAAAAAATAATATTAATTTATTTTTTAAGAGTTATTTATACTATATTATAAAGCATTTGATAAAAATTCTTAAAACCCATTTTTTTATGTATGAAATACTGTTTATTGATGCATATTACTTAAAATTTAAGATTACAAATAATTTTGCATAAATACAACTTATTAAAGCTTCATTTTTAAATTCGTGTAACTAACCGCAGATAAACATGATCAAATACATGATAAACATTTATTTTAAATATAGAAAATCTAAAATATAATTAAGATAATCATTGAGTTCTAACAAAATGGTTAATTATTATCTTTATAAAAAATTATATTATTAAACAAAAAATAAATTATTTTGTTATTAAATTATAATAAAAAATTGAATAAAAGAAGTTACACTAAAAAAACGAGAACTATTAAATAATTAATTTGATACTAATATCGATTTAATTTTTGTAAAACTTTATGATATCTCTCCAAATTTATATTTCATCTAAAAATAAAAACATTATCGTTTTATCAAAACCACATAAAATCGTATTATACCGATAAAAACAAATAATAAAAACTAAACATTAAAATGAAGATTTATCTCGCTGCATTGCGCAAATACCCATTTAGTTTATATATATATATATATATATATTATGTATATTGATTAATTCATGTAATTAATTAAATTATAATAAATAAATATTTTTTATAATAAAATATATTAATAGAAAGTTTTCATCTAAACGATTAAAAATGATATAAAAATAAAAGCTTTATGTGGTTTTCAATTTTTATTTTATATTTTTCTATGTTATTTTTATTAATAATAATTAATAAAATATATAAATTAATCAAAATATAAAAACAATATAAAAATAATATTTTGAAAACAATAATATAAAAGTTTAAGTAACATAGAATACAATAAATAAAATATCAACAATGAATAAAATGTAAAGAAGGGTGTGTGTTTGATTTTTTAGGAAAAAATAATGTTTTGTTTTTAGGTTATATTGATAAAATATAAGTCCACTTCATCTTGTTCCATGGCATGGGGTAGGGGTGAAACACGTCTGTTCCACTATGACCATGTTTGTCCTTACATAAAAGTGTTGCCAAACGTAGAACAGTGATTTATGTTCTATTATGTGATGTCACCAAACGCACCCTTAGGGGTGGGTTAAAATCATCTCTAATGGCGGTTCTTATAAGAACCCATTTTTTGTATTTTTTTTAAGTGAATAGTCTAAGGAAACTCAACCTACTTCCTATTTTGAATGTTTAGTTCTTGAACTTTTTTTTTTTGAATGAAAAAACCATAAACTTTCTCATTTTGAATGATTTAGTCCTTAAAACTTTTTTTGAATGAAAAAACCATTAAATTTTCTAATTTTGAACAATTTAGTCTTTGAACTCTTTTTTTGAAAAAATAAATCACCGAACTGTTAAAAATTTGTCACCTACATTCTTTTAATGCAAAAAGGCTACTTGAAATCGGCTATGAAGGTTTAATCAGTTTTACCTTTCCCAAACCTAATCGTTGAATCATCCTCGTTTTCTCTCTAACATTGCTCATCACCGTTGTTGGGCCATGCCATCATTTCACTCTTTTTGCTTGATTTTTGTTTTGGTTTTTTATTTTCCTTCTTTTTTTATATATCTATATATGCTCCATTAAATTGTTGTAAAAGAGGGAGAATCAAAAGGAAAAAAAAACAGATAAAAAAAGATGAAGATTGATTGTGGGGGCCACTAACGACAATGGACGTTAGAGAAAACAGACAATGATGCGGCAATGAGGAGTGACAAGGGGGAGTGATGTCGTTATGTGCGAAGGGTTTCAATGACATAGGGTTTGAGAACGATAAAACTATGTTCTTTTACTTTAAAACATTTTTAGTCGGTTACATGTAACATTTTTTGGGTTAAAAGAATGTAGGTAACCAATTTTTAAAAGTTCAATGGTTTATTTATCCAAAGCAAATGTTTAAGAATTTAATCATTCAAAATGAGAAAGTTTAACGGTTTCTTCATTCAAAAAACTAGTTTAGAGACTTAATCATCCTAAATGAGAAAGTTATAGTTTTTCAATTAAAAAAAGTTTATGGATTAAATGAAAATGAAAAAGTTGGTTGGGGTTTCTTTTGAACCTTTTCCTTTCTTTAATAAGTAATTTACAACTATCCTAATTAATAACCTACTTATAAATCCACAATAATATTTTTTGTAAAATCCTATTTTATGGGACCCATCTCCCATATCTAATATAAGTTAAATAAATATATACATATTAATTATCAGCGTAAACTACAAATTTGGTCCCGTTGCTTGTTGTTTGTTGTTTATAAAGCTTTTATCCCCGTCGTTTGTTATTTGTAATACTTTTGGTCCCTACAGTTTAAAAATTAAAAGATGGTCATTATGGTTTGTTAAATTGACTGAATTTGGTCCCTCCCATTAAAGGCCGTTAGAAGAACCCGTTAAGTAAAGTGTATTTTAGTCTTTTCATATTTTTATCTCATTTTTATGTAATAATATAATAAATATGTAAATTACAGGAACCAAAAATGTAATTTACTATACTATATAAACAAAAATGTAACTTCCTCGTATGTATATATATATATATATATAGAGAGAGAGAGAGAGAGAGACACACACACTTCATATAAATCGCCCACCACCTCTCCTCACCCCACCTCCCAAACCGTCATCATTACTCTTCGACCAAAACAAAGCTCCAGGGAGAGAAACGCCAACCAAAGAAAACTCTAGAGACCCACATGGATTTCGACCTTAAAAATGACCTAAAATTGAGAAAAAGAAAACCTAAAAATCACCAAATAGAAAAAATACAGATTGAAGATGTAACCTTGATTAAAGATAGGTTTCACTGATATGGGGGGAGGGGGTTAGTCAGAGGGGATGCGCTAGAGAAAGGGATCGACAATGAGGCTCAAGATAGCCACTGATTG